TCTGTAGGAACTGAGGTATGCCACTTAGGGACCAACATTTCTTTATCTGTGAATTATGAGTGATTGTGTGTACCTCAGGAGGTATTGCAGGAATCAGTAATAAAATGCACGTGAAATTATTTTGTAAAATGTAAAACGCTCTTGTTATTGGGATTATTTTTCCAAAAATAGCAACATTAACTTGTTGATTAGGAGTAGCACAATCGCCAGCTGTACTATTTGTTCCTATGAGAAACACTGACTGTCAGATGATTAGTGGATCTGAAGGTGGGCCTAAAATCCAGTAAGAAGGCCCTGAGAGCCACGGGCTGGTTTAAATTGACTAAGATGAAGGTGGGCCAGGAAGGATAGATTGATCCAAGAAGGACAGATATTGCCCATTTTTTAATTGTTTTTTTTTTTTTTAGCTGAGTTCCTTATATATTTTGGATATTAACCCATTATCAGATGTATGGCTCACAAATATTTTCTCACATTTCATAGATTCACTCAGTTGATTGTTTAAATAATTGTTTATTTTAGCTGCTCCTACCAAAAATGCTGCCCTTTTTGTCTTGTTAGACCTTGCTGACCAATTTTTTTCCATCCTTTTCCCTTTTTTCCTCTTTCTCTTCTTCTCTCCTTTTCTACCTAGTGTCAAATATAGTGCTAGGCTCTGTGTATACAAAGATTAATATAAGAGGGGGTGTGTGTGTATGTGTTCTGCTCTCAAGGACCACATAGTCTAACAGGGAGACAGACAATAGCAAATAGTAATAATATGGCTTGCTAAGCATTGTACATAGAATGGTATTTGGCTCCACAAAAGGCCTTGATTTCCTTCTACAGTCTCTTCCCCTGACATCTGTGATACGGTGCCCTTCATTTCTCCTCTGTCTCACTCATTATGTACCCTGCCCTTAAATATGATAATTTCCAAGTGCTCTGTCTTTTGCTCATTTCTGTTTTTTTCTCTCATCCTACCATGCATTCTTATATACCCATGTGACATTAACTCGTACTTCTATACAAATTACTTCCAAGATCTACTTTTCTAGAACTAATCTTTTACCTCATTTCCAAACCATACCTTGAACTTCCTCATAGAAATTATAACAGGGCTATCTCATCCATGCTTAACTTCCTTATGTCCAAAGCTGTTTCTTTCTGCAACCACAAACACAGAGACAATCATCGGAACAAACAAACATCCATTCTGAGTTCCCTATCTCAGGGAATGACTTTATTTTTTCTGTTACCTGGTCTCTAGAAATCTGTAGGTCACTTTTAATTTAACTCATCTTATCTCTTACACAGTTAAGGGAGTTAAGTATCTTATGAACAGGATCTAGTTTAAACTTTTCACTGTGAGATAGGTATTATTGTCTCTATTTTACCGATGAGGAACTTTAGGTCCAGAAAGGTCAAATAATGCGTCCAAGGATGATATACAGTTCCTAAGACGTTGACTTAGGATCAGACCCATATGGGTGTCTCTGCAAAGTCTGTCCTGTTGCCCATTATATTAATATTATATTGATTCATCTCACAATTGGTCTCATTGTTTTATACCAATGCCAACATACTTCATATCTATATTCATACTTTTGCTACTTTGTGTGGCTCTCCAGTCTACATATATTTGTGACAAAGATGATTTTATTAATAATATGGAAGAACTTTTCAGTGAGTTAAATTAAAACAGGGCTCAGCAAACTTTTCCCATAAAGGACTAGATAGTAAGTATTTTAGGCTTTGTGGGCCATATAATCTCTGTGGCAACTACTCAGTCCTGCCTTTATAGTGAGAAAGCCACAACAAATGGTAAGTAAGCAAATGATTATTACTGTGTCCCAAAAAACCTATTTGTAGAAACAGGCTGTGGCCAGATTTGGTCCTTGAGTCTTTAATTAAATATTTATTTAATTTTCACCATCTAATGTGTTTTATTGGATTTATTTATTGACACATTTGTTTATGTATTTAAAATGCATTGATGTATAATCTAAGTAATTCAGATAAAATAGAAGTTAAGGGAGGTGACTGAAGAGATACAGTTTGAATTTAACAGTCTTGGGCCTTTGAGAAATACAGTTGACCCTTGAACAACTTGGAGGTTTGGTGCTGAACCCCCACTCAGTTAAACATTCATATATAACTTTTGGCTGCCCCCAAATTTAACTACTTTGACTGGAAGCCTTATTTATAACATAAGCAGTTGATTAACATATCTTATACATTATATATATTATATCGTGTACCTCATAATAAACTAGAGAAAAGAAAATGTTATTAAAATCGTAAGGAAGGAAAATATATCTACTATTCATTAAGTGGAAGTGGATCATCATAAAGGCCTTCATCTTCATCGTCTTCACATTGAGCAGGCTGAGGAGGAGGAGGAGAGGAGGGCTGGGTCTTGCTGTCTCCAGGGTGGCAGAGGTTGCAGAGGGGGAGGAGGTGGAAGGAGAGGCAGGAGACGCAGCCACACTAGGGTAAGTTTTATGGAAAAAAATCTGCGTTTAAGTAGACCCACGCTGTTCAAACCCGTGTTGTTCAAGGGTCAGCTGTACTTACTCAGGGTTCTGAATTTTACCTAATGGCTAGGCATATGAATTTGTGCAAGTTACATGATCTGTTTGAGCTTTATTTTCCTTGTCAATAAAATGGTAAGAATAATACCTCACAGAGTTGTCGAAAGGGTGAAATGGAAGAGCACTGTACCAATAGACATATGACTATTGTCGATGTTATCTTCCTGGGTCTTTTATATATTTCCAGATGAAATATTTCTTACAGTGAAATTTGATAGAGGCAGAAGGAAAAGGAATTCACTTCTGAGGTAGAAGTGGGGAAGCTACCCTCGTTATTAATCTCTCTCTGTAAGAGATGGTAATAGAAAGGACAAATACTGGTTTGGCTGGGGAGAATGACAGTGGCGAATACAAGCAGGGCTGGGCCGAGAGACCAAAGGACAAGAAAATTAAACTTTCATGGGCAAGCTGGGGATTGCGTGAGGAGAGCAAGCAAGGGATGTGAGGATGGGGCACATCTGTGGGAGCAGAGCCTGGAAGTGGCTTCAGATGTGTGAGGAGCTGGAAACCAGGAAGGAAGAGTGTAGTGTAGTCAGCAAGCCACGAATAGCTGCATTAAAATCCCCTTTCCCAGAACAATTCTGCAGTGTGTACAACAGCATATGCCTTTGGAAGGAAGAAGTGCTTTCTTGTGTTTTGCCAAGGGTGCTGAAATGGTTAGCTAAGAACCTAACAGTTTGACTTTGTGCTAAGATGTGTAAGGCTGCATATGCATATTTAAAGTTCATATGCACTGTGGTGACAAGCCACTGAACAATGTAGACGGGAAGACGTATTTCAGTTGCAGCTCAGCCAAAAGCCCTTTTGAAGCAGCTTTAACAAAATGATGCTATAAATGAATAAATCCAGAGTTCCTGTGTGTCTTTGAAAACTTCTCACATGATGACAATCTCAGACAAAAGTGCTATACACAGGCTTCTACTAAGCAGTCACACATAAATACAACAATTTAACTTGGAGCTAGATATTCTCAGCTCCAATTTTGAATCAGGTGAGTTGTGCTGCTCAGTAGGTAAGCTTTTCATGGTCTCCTGGAGCAGCAGAATTCTCTTCTAATGCATCTTAATCTCATGAAGTTATGTATTTTCTTGGTGTGGTTGCATAGCCCTTGAAGTAAAGTAACCGCACAGTTGTATGCTTTAAAGTAGCTTAATAGATAAAAATTCCAAATTTTAGAAGATAGATTTGTGTGATTTAAGTTTATGAACTTAAATCATTTATGAACATTAGTATTTGACATCTAATGACTCATTACTAAGATTGCCGAGTGTATTTAAAACTGGCTTCTGTGGCAGTGTGGAGGACACCGGATGGCCTGGAGCCTTTTGTGTTGTCTCAACTCTTTGCCACCTTACCGTAGAGTTTGGTCAGCTATACCTGAGTCCGGGTCGCCTCGTCTGTGACATGAACAACTTAGACTAGATGACAGCTGAGGTGACTTTCAGCTGTGAAATTTGGCTATCTTATTAAATTCTAGGCATTTTTCCTTTTTTAACAAACCTGGGTCAGTAATCTGTCTTCTGGCCGCTCTCTGTCCCCTCCCCAGTGAGTTTAGTCCTGCACCTGGTTTGTTGTGGGTGTGCAGTATTATAGAAATTTGCTATTTTACAAAGCAAAGATATAATTGAGAGGATGCTACAATGCTATTAAGTTTAGACAACATGACCAGATGTGAGGATAGGAAAGGTTGGCATTTATAAAAATAGTTTCCACTGTCTATTGGTATAGTCTATCATTTTGTATCACATTTCCTTAAGTTTTGTATTTTTAATTTTTAAAATATTAAAGATAGCCACCATCTAAAGTGGTATATTTTATTCAGAATGTTTTAAAAACAGTATTGTTAATGTCATTCTGTGATTTAATGCAGTAATCCAGCAGTCAGACCCTGTCAAGGATAAGCAGTACTCTGTAGTTGAGAGGACGAAAGCAGAAATGTGAAGGACGGCTATTTAATATATCTTCCCTTTTATTATCCTTCAGAGGCCTGTATGTAATCACGTGCTCCCTTTAATTAATGAGGCCCTTACTAGGGTCCAACTAGTCCTGTATTTTAGGTTATGCCTCTAAAGTCTTTCGTTCTAGAATATAGAAGTTGCCACATTTAAAGTTTTGTTCCATATCAGGAGTTCAGGACAATGTGATAAAGGAAATTTTCTACGAAGCCAAGAATCTAAATGACAAAGGAAGGACAACTAGATACTAGGAATCTAAAAGTGACTTTCAAGAGTCTTTCAGTTTAGCGCAGGAAACATGAAGCCTCTGTCGGCAGATTTCTTTAATTGGATCGTCCAGCTGTGTGGAGGTGGCAGTGGGAGAAACACGTATGTCAACAGGACGGTGAGGAGCTCGTGGGAGATACAGAGGACACACTTGCTCTTCACAAAGTGAAACCTGACTTGTGCTTTGTATGTGTGCTCTCTCCAGAATCCGTGACAAGTTTCTATGATGGTCGGTTCAGCTCTCAGGCAAGTCGCCCGTGCATGTGTCTCCCTGCTGAGCAAGGCCAGTCACGTCTCCAGAGGCCATCAGCATCAGGCCTGGGGCTCGAGGCTTGCTGCTTCTGAGCTTGCTGCCCAAGGAGCTCCCGGCCACGTGGTGGAGCTGCTGGGCAAGTCCTACCCTCAGGATGACCACACCAACCTCACCCGGAAAGTCATCTCAAGGGTAGGTAGGAACCTGCACAACCAGCAGCATCACCCTCTGTGGCTGATCAAGGAGAGGGTGAAGGAGCACTTCTACAAGCAGTACGTGGGCCGCTTTGGGACCCCGCTGTTCTCGGTCTACGACAGCCTTTCTCCAGTGGTCACAACCTGGCAGAACTTTGACAGCCTGCTCATCCCAGCTGACCACCCCAGTAGGAAGAAGGGGGACAACTATTACCTGAATCGGACGCACATGCTGAGAGCGCACACGTCGGCGCACCAGTGGGACTTGCTGCATGCAGGGCTGGACGCCTTCCTGGTGGTGGGCGACGTCTACAGGCGCGACCAGATCGACTCCCAGCACTACCCTATTTTCCACCAGCTGGAAGCTGTCCGGCTCTTCTCCAAGCACGAGGTGAGTCTTGAGACATTTCTCACGGCTGAAGGACATCATGGACATTTCATGTTCAGGTCGCTAAAGTTTATCTCAGTAAAGTGAATGTGCTCATCTTTGCTTGAACTTATTTTGCTTTGGTGAATCCATCTTTAATGATGTCCTTTGTACAGGCCTGCCTCAATATATTTTGATTGATTTGTTGTGTTAGTAACTGCAGAAATCAGCAGGCCTTTGTTTTCAGTTGTCTGTCTTTATCCTTTCTCTCAAAGCTGACCTGCCTTTCTCTGGGTCACTTCTCATCAATGGATAGTTAGTGGCTCAAATTCACCCTTAATCCAGGATGGCTGAAGAGACAACACTGAAACCTGTGGTCAGCTTATTCCAGCTCTCAGTTAGTAGAAGTTAATTATGTTTTCATGCTGTTAGAGATTAATGAATTTCTTATATACCTTAGGGGACTGGAGATTTATTGGCTTGGACTGTAAACTGTGTTCTTGTCCCCGAGCTCTTTCCTACCTTCCCCTGCTTTGCATGCTGGTGTGGGAGATCTTAACTGCTGCTATTCTTAAAGTGTATGTTTGAAGGCATAGAGCCTTTTGATCAGGGAATCTGATGTTCTGGCCATTCTCAAAAGCACCTGAGTCCTTGCATCTTTTAGATAATTGCATCCAATATATTACGTGCATCTTTTTTGGGCAAATTATGAAAATCCCTAAAAGCTTGATTTTGTGTTCTAAAAATTTGCAACACTACTTTCCCTTTATTCATATATTTTGAAAACCATCTCTGTTTTTATGTCAGAAACAAATGGCATTAAACGAGGCACAGGAAGTATTTCACTTTACTCCTTTAGCAATTCTTCCAAACGTGTTCAGTGGAATAGGAGGAATTATTATTATCACAAAACTTCCTCCCACAAACACAAGCTAAATGGCTCGTTAGTATGAAAACATACAGTATAGGATCCTTAGGCTAATAAGTAGCTGTTGTTTTGTTGTATTAAATGAGTCATGTAGCAGGAGACAACTGAACAAGATTGTCCTCCCATTCTCTTCTTTTCTTTCTGTTTGCCTTAGGATGTGCTTGTATCCTGTGACTCTGTGATAATACAATAATAGGTTAGTCTTACACAGAAATGCCATCTATGCTGGATCTCAGGGGAGCTTTGATGAGCATTCTTACTCTTGGAATAACTGACTGTTTTCTAAGTTAGAAATGATAACTATTAATAAGGATACAGATTTATTAGGAAACTAAAACAAGACGAACAAAGACAGGTCAAAGTCTGGGAAATATGACCAAGTGATAGAATGTCACTTAAAATTAATGTGCATGAAGAGTCGTGATGCCAGTAATACGATATCCAGGTCACGGCAGTGGACAGGTGCTCAGCCCAGCTTACTTCATTAAAGAATAAGAAAGGAACGTGCACACTGATTGGTAACCCTGAGTGCCATGAAAGAGGCAGTGAATTCAGGCTGTGAGATGCACCTAGCGTTTTAAGGGAAGGAAAGTCAAGGCTGCCACAGAAGCTGGGAGATGGGAAGTGGGTAGGGAGTTAGCCCTTACCTTGTTTCGTATTTGCTTGGGGTCCAGTGCAATTTAGTGGTTAGCACAAATGACTAATCTAATCTCATTATGTTATTGTATATTCTGCCTTATAATTAAAAAAGTTATGCACACATGTAGCTACGTATCTAATCTTCTTATATGATAAGGTGCTTCTATGTTCATTGTATCATTTATTCCCCTTAATAAAAACCTGTGAGGTAGATTATTTCCACTTCAACCATGAGGAATCTGAGGTCTTGGAAAGTATAGTGACTTGTCGCTTAACCAGTTGGTAGCGGAGCTAAAACTGGACTAGGTCTCTGAATTCTCTGGCCATTTTACTGTATTCACCTTATTTCAGGGGACTGTTTTGTAAATGGGACCCGCTTATGATCCACGGGGAGCTTTTGTTTCAAGAATGGTGTGGGACGGGGGAGTGGTAGTGTTTTCTGAATTCCTGCCCTCAACTAAAGTGTTCATACTAAGTCTGACCTAATCTTAACTCTCAAGAAAATGTTTTTTTCTTCTTTCAGTTTATTCCCCTATGAATAGGATATTTTAGATAGTTGTAATCATGCTACAGATGTAATTTTAAAAATTATATTATTATCGTTTAAAGTTTTTCTCTTAATCTTTTAAATTATTATTATTATTTTTTTTTTTTGGACAGAGTCTCACTCTGTTGCCCGGGCTAGAGTGCCGTGGCGTCATCCTAGCTCACAGCAACCTCAAACTCCTGGGCTCAAGTGATCCTACTGCCTCAGCCTCCCGAGTAGCTGGGACTACAGGCATGCACCACCATGCCCGGCTAATTTTTTCTATATATTTTTAGCTGTCCAATTAATTTCTTTCTATTTTTGGTAGAGACGGGGTCTCGCTCTTGCTCAGGCTGGTCTCGAACTCCTGAGCTCAAACGATCCGCCCGCCTCGGCCTCCCGGAGAGCTAGGATTACAGGCGTGAGCCACCGCGCCCGGCCTTAAATTATTTTTTTAATCACTATAAGGTATATATCAGCAAGTAGAAAAGTGAATGCAGAGGTATAGGGTAAAAGAAACAATGATAAACATAGAAATGGATAAACTACAATAATATATATTTAACTATTAATTATGAAATAACCCTTTTTTGTTTAGAAAAGGTAAAACAAAAACTTTAGCCAACAATAAAAAGTTGGAGGGAGCAATCAATAGGTAATTAAAATCTGCTAAGGTTCTTATCATATGTGGGGAAAGGTTAGAAATGCTGAGTAACTTCAGATTTTGTTGAAAAAAACTAGATTGTGATACAATCTATACATTCCACATTGATGGAATAGAAAAGTAAGAATGTGTAAAATGATCTCTTTTTAACAGAAGTTGGGGAAAAAAAAGAAAGAAAAGAAAGTATGATAAATAGAAACTTCAAATTAAGGGTGTAGATATAAGTCCAAATAAATCAGTAGAAAATTGGACATTTTTTAATTAGAGAAACCTGAAACAAAACCACACCAGAGGTTGAAAATAAAGGGCAGGAAAAAGATATATCAAGCAAATATTTATCAAAAGAAAGTTGGGACAGCAATATTAATAATATTAGGTAAGAGAATTTATGGAAAAATGGTAAATAGGAGTAAAGAGGGGATAATACATCAACCAAGAAGCCTTATGAATTAAGAATTTTTATGTATGCAACATTATAGCCTTAATACATAAAGCAAAACTGAAGAATTAAATGTTAAGTTTGACAATTTCATAATCATGGTAGATTTTAAATGACCTCAATCAGAAACCAGTGAATTAAATAGAAAAACTAACTAATGATGTAGACAATCTGAAAAACATGATTAACAAGATTAACTTATATTTATTTTTATAATTTGGTAGCCATGTATATTTACATGGCTTATATATTTACATGTGTGTATTTGTGTGAGTGCAGACACACACACAGACACACACCAAGTTCCATACCTAAGAGGCAGAAGTATAAGTCACATGGAGTATTTAACATAACTTATCCATTACTTGTTGACAGTTGAAGTCTAAACAAATATCAAATAATCAATAACATAAATAGAACTATGCCTCCCCGACTACAATGTAGTTTATGTAGAAAGCAATAAGAAAGGATAATAAAAATTTTCCATATTCTTAGAAATTTAAAAATTTACAACCATAGATTCATTGATTAAAGGGAAATATTAATAATAAATTACAAATTACTTATCACTGACCACGAATGAAAATACTCACTTCAAACTGACCCGATGTGGGGGAAAATTCATTTTAATATGGAGAAACTTGGTAGACCCCATTTAAACCATATGATCAAAGTTCACATTAAAAAAGCAAAACTGATGGCATAAAGCTCAATGGGTACTTATTGTACATTTAGCATTAAATACATTTATTTTAAAAATTTAAAATGAAAATCAATGACTTACGTGTTCAATTTAAGATGCTAAAAACACTGTTTTAAAGTAGAAGGGAAGTAGGTTTGTAGTTTTTGAATATCCTCTAATCTTACCAAATGCACAGAGCAACTGGAATAGCAAATCAAAAAATACACAGACAACATCTACAACACAGCTTGGTGACAAGGTCTCCCTAAAATCCTTACAAATGGATGGGAAGTCACAACTGACAGAAGTTCTACACTGTGTTTGAAACTAAGGTAATATGAAGATGCAATGGTGTCTGACAAAAGGAGAGCTTCCTTAGGGTTATCTCAAAGAAAAAGACTTCCCACAACCAAATTTACTGGAGAGACTTTGACGTGAAGTACTTTAACACAGTTCATCAGTGACTACTATCGTCACAAAAAGAGGGACAACCAGACTTAGGTGTCTCATGATGGAAGGATGCAATACCAACTATAAAGTCTTTCCAAAAAAGATGGACATGAGTTTGATTAATTCTCTAGGTCCAACTACCATATTTGTAGGAAGTGCGGAGTCCAGAGTAACGTATGAAACTCTACCACAGAGATATAACAAGCCAAGTCCAGGCTGTGGGAAATTCTGTAACAGGGCTACTCAAACTGTGATTTGCAGAATGAAATAAAGAGAGAAATCAAAAGTAAGTATTGAGAAATGTTTAAGCAATACTCAGTATGTAGAAATGTTTAAGCCATCATATTCAAGCACATTATTAATGGACTTGTTTTGTTGAACAGTGTATAGATGGGTTCAGGTGTTTTTAAATGCTCTTGGTAATTTGCGTGTGCACAGTCTCTGCAATGCTTGCGTGCAGTAGGCCCATGGACCAGTTTGTAATCCATTGGAATTTAAAACTGTCCCTTTGCCACAAATTGAGAAGCACTGTTCTATAGGATAAATGATCTGATTTCTTTAAATAAATTGGAAGAAAAATAAAAGGAATGGAAATGACACCCATAGATTAAAAGAAAGGTGAATTGATCACAATGTGCACATCCTATCAGTATTTTTAAAGAAAAAAAAAAACCTATAACATCTGAGACCACTGGA